GNGAAAGGGCATGTATATAATGGGTATATAATAGGGTGTAAAAGATGTCCGCCCTTAATGTTAAGTGAGATGCACAATATTCTGTGTGGATATGCAAATTAAAATACCCGCACTGCACAATGCATAAATGTTAAACAAGATGCACATTAATGTCTACGAGAGTGCACATTAGCGTAACATTGTATTATGTACAATGACTAAAATACCCCCGTTGAAAAAAAACAAAAGTTCACTGTATTACAACAATTCCACTGGCTCTTTGACCAAAGCTGGAACCTTTGGTTGTGCCTCGAACGTAGATATATCACATTCCACCGATACTATCCATTCTTATTTCTTTCACTTTGATCAAATCTCATATGATCCTCTATATATATATATAGGGTCGGGTACCGGTGAGAATATGTTTCAACGAAAGAAATAAGAATAACTCGGACCCACAAGATCATAGCAATCGGAAGCCTACGGGAAACGCATCTAGTTTTATTCACGTCATTAATTTGAGGGTATAATGGTAACTACCGAATCAACTAATGTTGACCAGAAGAAACCCCCACCTCTGAAATCCCGAAACCCTTGCCTCAAATTCCCTCACCTCAAATTCACATAAATTACGTTACGATTTTTAAACTATAACAAATTATTGGAATTTTGCGGTCGATCCTCGTGAACATGGAGCTCGAATTTTCAGTTTATTGAGTTTTGCGACCAATCTCTATGAAATTGAAGTGGAAATTTCCGATTTTCTTGAGTCTTGCGACCAAAATCTGTGAAATCGAGCTCAATTTTTTCCAATTTATTGGAGTCTTGCGACATTTTTCTTGGAGTTTTGTGACAATCACCATGAAATTGAAGTCGAAATTTCCGATTTTCTTGAGTCTTGCGACCAAAATCTGTGAAATCGAGCTCAATTTTTTCCAATTTATTGGAGTCTTGCGACATTTTTCTTGGAGTTTTGTGACAATCACCATGAAATTGAGCTCAAATTTTAGAATTTCTTGTTGTTTGTGAACAATCTTATAATCAATTAGTGAAATCGAGTTAGAATTTTCAATATCTCAGAGTTTTGATCTGATATCATTCTTTCTATCTTTTTGTTTTTTTCGATTTCTGTGGGTTTCATACAGTATCTTGGTTGAGCCGCATCAACGATGGAATTGTATGAATCTCAACCAGGTATTGATATGAAATTTATACATTATACTTTCAGTTAGACAAGTTTTATCATTATGTGATAATGTGCAACAATCAATCAAATTGTGTACAATTTTTTGTTCACAATGTGCAATCATTGTGTTTGATTTATCAATACTAATTTTTTTCCTTCACATGAATCCTTAAGACAATCAAACATCAATTACACATTAGCATCTTTTAATCACACCATGGCGAACAAAATAATAGATCCCACGATGTTACGGAGCAAACAAACCTTATCAGAGACAAAGATTTCGAGAACTACATGAAGCAGCTAACTTCTACAAGAATTACGCTCTTAGTGTTGGAATCGATATGAGACAAAGAACCTTGGTGAAAGCACGTGACTAGACAGTCCTTTGGAAATACCTAATGTGCTCACGAGAGGGATGTAAGCATCATGCAATCATCGGTGGTGAAGGACATGTATGAGACGTAGAGTGTCCAACCGAGTAGGTTGTAATGCCAATATCGTGTTGCGAGTTGATGGATTGAATGGGTATATCGTTAAATCATTTGAGGAAAAACACAGCCACTCGATGATATCTGAAAACCGCAACTGAAGATCAATAGAGCAATGAATGCAGGACATGAGTCATTCGTACTAAACTGCATAAAAGCCAATATAGGGCCAATCAAGTCGTACCGTTTGTATAAGAAAATGGTTGGAGGGTATTCGATTATCGGTGCCACTAGCGTGAACTTCAAAAACTTTAAACGATAACTCCTTGCATACATATTGGGGACTAATGCACAATTGGTTATCGATAAATTCTATAAGTGCAAAGAAACGAGCCTTGCCTTCTACTTAATATATTTATTTAATAATGATACTAAAATTAATTTAAAATAATCATAGTAAAAAGAGATAACTGTGTAGATGTAGCGCAAAATATTCAAGATAAAACTTACTTTTTATTTGTTCTAAACTAAATAGAGTAAATTCTACAAAGTAAAGTAGTAAAATAGTAATAATGAGGAAAGATGTCCTAAAACCAATTTATGGAGTGTAAACTGTGAAGTTAGACAGATGTGCAGTGAAACTTGTCCTGTTTCTTTCACCACTGCTCACAGTGCTGCAGCTGCACTCCCCCCTCTCTCTCTCTCTACATCAAGAATACAATAATAAATTCTCATCCAAAACCAATTTAATTTTCCCCATCAATGAATGCCCCAACCTAATTTTCACGCCCTCACACGAAAATCCCCATCAAACAATTTAGTCCAACCGAGAAAATAAAAAAATAAAAATAAAAAAGCACAAGGCTTCTGCACATGGGGGGCAGCTGGCTACTCCCGTTCCTCCTCCCGATAATCGTCACAAGGGCCGCCCTCATCGTCGGCGGCGGCATTGGCAGCGGCGGCGGCGTTTGGATCGGCGGCGGCGGCATCAACAACCCTCCTCCCTCAGAGACGGCACCAAGCGGGGCCTACGCCGCCCTCCAGGCCTGGAAGTCCGCCATCACCGACGACCCGCTCGGCATAACCCGGTCCTGGACCGGCCCGGACGTCTGCTCCTACCGGGGCATCTTCTGCACCGACGAGGTCGATTTCCTCGGGAATCCGGCCGGAAAGTCCGTCACCGCCGTGGATCTGAACCGCGCGAACCTCGCCGGCGCCCTGGTCGAGCAGCTGGGCCTACTCACTTCCCTCTCCCTCTTCCACGTCAACAGCAACCGATTCTCCGGCACCGTCCCAGCATCCTTCCGCCGCCTCTCCTCCCTGACGGAGCTCGACCTCAGCAACAACCGCCTGTCGGGGCCGTTCCCGGCGGCCGCCCTCGAAATGCCGAGCCTCGTGTACCTCGACCTCCGCTTCAACTCCTTCTCCGGCGGCATCCCGCCGGAGCTCTTCGAGCGGCGTCTGGACGCCATCCTGCTGAACAACAACGCGTTTTCCGGCGAGCTGCCGGAGAATCTAGGGAACTCGGCCGCGTCGGTGATTAACCTGGCCAACAATCGACTCACGGGGAGCATCCCCTTCAGCTTCGGGTACATGGGCGGGATAAGGGAGATTCTGTTCTTGAACAACCGGCTGACGGGGTGCGTGCCGGAAGGGGTGGGGTTGTGGGCGGGGCTTCAGGTGCTGGACGTGAGCTCCAATCTGTTAAGCGGACGGCTGCCGGAGTCTCTGTCCTGCCTGGCCCAGATCGAGGTTCTCAATTTAGGGCGCAACAGGCTGTCCGGGGAGCTGCCGGACGTGGTGTGCTCGTTGAGGAGGCTGGTAAATTTGACGGTGGCGGCGAATTTCTTGTCCGGGGTGGGGCAGGGGTGTGACGTCACTGACAAGGGATTTGATTTGTCGTTCAATTGCATACCGGGGAAGGAGATGCAAAGGCCCGGGAACGACTGTTCGGGAGGGCCCGGGCCCGCACTTAGCTGTATAAGAATTCCTTCGGCTAAGCCGCTGGTGTGTGGGACAGTGATAATCCCTTAATTAGTTACCTGCTTCCTTCACCAATCGCCATTCCATTCCCTTTACTGTTACTTGTTTGTTTCTTTTATTTAGGTAGCCACGGGACAGGTTATTATTTGCTGTCGCTCATTAACACGATGATGTAATCATTTTTCTCAACCTTCATTTCCATTCTCCCGGTATATATATTTGTTTGATTTTCGCCAAATTCGTCAATTACGCGGCTTTTTATTTGTTATTGACCAATCAAATATGAAAAATAGGATATATGAGAAAGGTTAATTTAACAGAAAGAAAGCAAGTTAACCTACATTGCTTTCATAATTTTTAATGCTTCCAAAAATAAACCATTCAATTTAATATTTTAATACCAAGTTATTAGTGATTGACAAATTGTAATAAGTAAAATTGTAACGGCTCATACAATTACAAATATACTATATTTTAAGTACAAGTTGTGTGATAAGTAAATTTTGACTGATAAATATATTATGATAATTAACTATAACTAATAGATAAATTGTACAAGTAAATTATAAAATGAACTATAACTGATTGATAAATTTTAAATAGTAAACGCTAAAAATGATTTGTAAATAATAGGTAAGTTTTGTTGAATACACTAGTTGTTACTTGTTGCTATAAATGTTTGTTACTTGTTAATTAGTGTTAGTCTTATCCGTCTCACCAAATGCCCCTTTATTTAATTGAAGTTGTTAACGTACAAAAAAAAAAAATATAATCTCATTTTTTTTTTCTGATCCCATCAACATAATTTAAAAACAATGATGAATTATTATTATAAATTTTCACGAAATACTATTCATCCACTCATATAATTTTAACGAATAATTGCATTTGTATCTTTGGACAAGCATGATCGTTTAGCATTATTAGTCTAGTTATTTATTACATTTACTTTCATTGTTAATTAACTACTAGTACGTAACTCGTGCGATTCACGGGTTGTATTTGTTTTCGTAAAATTTATAAATTGAAGGTTATTAATCAATAAGTTATAATATATAGAGCATTTGTCAAGTAATCGTAAAATGTTCGTCATTAAAAAATCATACATTCTTACAAAATTCGTTGTTTTTTCATGCAAAATTATTTTGCGCTTGACAAATGTACACCTATATAATTACCATGATTGTTCTCCAATTAGTAATTGCAAATTGTATAGACACCTTTTTCCTCTCATTCTTTATTGATTTTCGAATGCTAACACCACGAAATAAAATTATACTGAAAGTATATAATATTGTGATAAATACTAAAGATATGATTTATCAGGTGAAGTTTAATTTTATATGGACTATAAGAAAAGTTATCTTGAAGTGTGGATTTTGAGTATATCTTTTTTTTTTTTTTCAATCATTCTCATTTTTTAAACCGAATCCATTCCAATATTTAGAACATTTTTGTTTTTCTATTTTTATAATTTAACAGAGAATTGAAATTTCGATTGTACATTTTGTAAAACAATATTTACAAAAGTAATTATGTTAAAAAAACGATATTTTATCTTTTACAGCTCAAAACTAACTAAATGAATTGGAGGACATGTAAATCACATTTTTTTTAGAAAAGAAATGTTACATAAATAAATTGATTTGTGTATATCTAAATTTCATTTTACATGGATCATGTGTATATCTCTTTAGAATATGACAATCATTTTTATTTTATTTTTTTGCTTAATTTCGTAATGTTTAACTTTTTCACATGATATAAGGATGTGGAAATCGTATCTTTTCTTTATGTAAATGATAAGTTTGAATGTTAATTAATCGTGCATCCTGAAAATTTGAATGCTATTTATTTAAAAAAAAGTTTGTTACATTTTGCATGGAAAGTGTTGAATTATTGTAGTTATTTATATCGCACTTTTATAGCTTATTTTTATAAAAAATGTATAAAAGTAGAACTGAGAATATAACATGTCCAATTCCATTGCATTTTTAAATTTTGTTTGTAAAAAAAAAATATTTGTATTGTCCAAAATTAGAATGGGATTTTATTTTTTTAATTGGAGATTAAAAAATCTGAAAGAAAGAAGGAATACGCTCAATAAAATTGTTACCATAGAAGAATATGTTATGATATCATTAAAATGGTTTGATTTTAAATAAATTAGAAAAGTATACAACACCGAATTCGAGAATATTTTTTTACAACAAAAATCGAGAATATGGCATGACAAACAACAACTACGATTATGGCAATACATTTAATGCTTCTTTTATTTTTTATTTGAAAACACTTAAAAAGAATATAAAACTTACCTTTTTTAGTATGCAATTAATGATTTTGGGGGGAAAAATCTTTCTAAAAATGATTTAATCTTATTCTTATTTTATATAGATAGATTTTTATTTAGTCTTTTATTTAGTCAATAATTTTATTTTCGTACGTCTCATTTTTATGAAAGTATTTAAGACTTTCACTTCATTGTCTTTAGAGTTGTTGGTTTTTTATTATGAAGTAAGAACATTGAGAGTTCTCTCTCAATTTTCTTTTGTCATTACGTTTTCGCTATGTCAGTTGATATCAACAGACCAGATACGATTTCTATATCATGCCTCCCAAATGAAACGATGCTACAAACGACAAGCGCAACGCCAAGATCGCCGCATTGGGCCACCAATTCGGGCCGTTAGCGGCATGTGTGGAGAAAATTCGGAGGGCTCTGGCTCCACCTGAGCACGACGAGCGTGACTACCATGAGCCAAATGTCATATGTGGTGGTCATGGAGGAGGTCGCGGTGGACGTGGTCAATGTCATTGTGTGGTGCCATGCTCCCGATCCCGTCCATCGTGTTTTGGTGACGATGACCCCGACGACACCATCTCCATGGTGAACCCATTTGCACCATTTGCAACATAGGGCGATGGGCATCTTTTCGAATATCGACGATGGGAGTTGGGGTTCAAGAACGCCAACCCGGGATTTTCGTGCAGCCTAGAGGTCGCTGATTTCTTGGATTGGATCAATGTCGTGGAAAATATTCGAGATTATAAAGAGGTACCGAATCATCGTCAAGTTTCCCTTGTCACGACTCGGCTTCGAGGTTGGGATTCGGCTTGGTGGCAACAGTTGAAACAAACGCGACAGCGACATGGTAAGTCAAAAATCATGACTTGGCGAAATTTCATAAATATGTGAAACGTGAATTTGCCATATAATTATGTTCATACGATCTATCAGCGCTTGTGTTGATATCCTAGTTAGCAAGTAAGGTAGCTCAAAGGTTAATCATGTTTTAGAAGCTAGTAAATCATCTGCAAGAATCAAAATACTAAAGTCGGTTTCACCCTTAGCACATGGTGTTGAAAATCACATGCATAATCCCCGATATCGACGCTTTAGAGAAATCAGAAGAAAACTATGTTAAATATCGAAGGCAGGACCTCAAGACGAACCATCGCTCAGTACTCAAGTCAACTCCTCATAAATGGAAAGATGAAACAAGGAAAGAACTTCGGAACATTTCACCAGGGTCGAATTGTAGGACAGTTTTCGCAAATCAATCCCTCGCTCGGTACCCCCAAAACTCAGGCTGACTTAGGAGAAGAAATAGGAAAATTAAGACATACTGATACTCCGATCTAAAAATAGCTAAGCACCGGATCCCAGTACACATTGCCCCAAGATACGGGAAGCCGAATGAAGAAAGACTGAGACCTGACCTCAAAACAGAGTAGCTTGGTCCACTACCTTCAACGCTCAGGTCGGTTACCCAAAAACGAGCACCAGTTTCTGGGCAGAAATGGAGACAACTCGATGACATGCCTGTACTCTGACCCGAAGACACAAGAGAGGACGGAGGTCTGGCACACATTAAAATAATGGCATCTATACTACGCTAACTAGCCTTGCAAGCCTATGAATTCTAGCCCCATAGATTCATGTGCAATCCCATAGGGTCATGGGCAGAATTAAATGCTGGTCATTCTAGTATACTGCAGATGTGACTCGATGTATAGTACCTAGTGTACAATAGCCAAAGTTGCCTTTCTATAAATAGCCTCAGATCTCCTTTTAGAGAGGGATCTTCTCGGAGGGATGACAAAAAATCATATAAGCCAAAACATACACTTCCCTTGTAATTAACTATGATTATTCATGATTATTCGTAATTAAGGGAGTAAATAAAAAAGCACTTGAGCTTATTCCCATAGACCAATTTGATTCATTTGAGCTCATTTTCAGTGTCATTTATGTTATTCGATTACTCAAGGTCGATCAATCTATTCCTTAATCCATACTCATTTGTCAATTAAAGGTGTTCATAATTAGTAACCTAATTCATATATTCTCTACTTTCATCAAACCATTTAATTATCGGCGTTCACCGGTATGTACCCGTTGATCGAAAGCACCCATCAACAGTCAACAGTATGGCGCTAGAAGGAGGGCCCCATAAGTTGCTTTGGGCCAATTTTCGACTTGTGGAACACCATAACAGTTTTGTCTCTTTCCATTCCGAAGAATCAATCTGAAAATAATGTCATCCAGTCATGACGGTCAATCCAAACAGTAGTCACAACAGTGCCGGCAAGCAGAGCAGCCTCACGATGTCGCACCCCCCATCGATTTCACGTCACTATTTCAAGACCCTAGTTTCATCATGGGGATGACAAATCTAGTGAGGCAAATCATGCCAATGATACCACAAGCTACACTACCTTCGCCGCCACCACATGAGGCGGTCATATTGAAGACCCCGGAGAAGAAGATTGGTCATCTCACCGGAGACAAAGGGAAAAGGACAGCCTAGTCGCAAAACACAGTTATGGCCCGAAAGCATACTGCCAAGACCCATGAAGAAATAATAGTCACACTAGCCTTGACGAAGGAAATTGGGGAAAATAGGTCTGCTCTAAGCCTTCAGGTTAGGTGGTCTATTACCTCGGTCTCCTACTATCTCAACGGAAGAAAATCCTGACACCGACTTGAGACACGAGGGGATCGGGGAAAATAGATATGCCGCAAGCCTTCGAGTTAGGTGACCTGTAAGCCTAGTTCCCCGACATGTCACTTAGAAGAGTCTTGAATTCGACTCGAGGGATGTGACCCTTGGGGGGAGACCGACCCGCCTCAACTTCGATGAGGTCCCGGTCTTGAAGAAGAAAATTACCGAGCTCAAAGCTCAGCAAAAGTTGAGAAGGAGGTAGTCTACGCTGCCCCCTATGATGATGAATTATCAAACCGCTGACGCGGCCTCCCCGCTGTCCTTGGATATCCTTCTCGAGCCCCTACCTGACAAGATCAAGCTTCCTCAGAATGGACACTACGACTGGAGCTCAGATCCCAATGCCCATGTAGGCCTATACACAACTTGGATGGACTTCCATGGGGTCAATGATGCCCTTCGATATCAGATGTTTTCGCTAACCCTTAGTCCTAGGGGATAAAGGTGGTACCGTTCTTTGTGCCCCCATTCCATTTCGACCTGAAGTCAATTGAAGACAACATTCCGATCCCACTTCATCGAGTTCTAGGTACGCATGATTTCTAAAGAGTCCATCACCAACATAATCAAGGGGGCCGAGGAAAGTTTAAAGGATTATATCGTCCATTTCAATGATCAGGTGCAGAACATGGAGCCCTGCCATCAAGAGACTCTACTAGGGTCGGCACAAGTTGACCTAAAGTCGAACTTAACTTTTAATTAGTCGCTTTCTCAGGACAAGCCGACTACGTACCAGGACATTCTGGTTAGGGCCCAAGAGCACATTGCAGCCTAAGAGTTGATGTCGGTTCCGACCCCCGAGGCACCAGGAGTTACGAACCTGAAGGGAAAGAAAACCATGTCGGCACAGGGTAATTTTGATAAAACCTAAGCCCGAGCTCTTTGAAAACAACAAAATGCAGAGCTCTACCGCGGCATCTACTCAACAGTGGCTGCGGCGGTCTATGAGGAAATCAAGGGCAAGGGAATCCTCTCCAACCTAAAACCAATCCTCGCCGACGAAAGTCAACTGGACAAATCTTGGTACTGCGCCTATCACAAGGGGCACTGACGTAACACCAACCAGTGCAGAAACCTGATATCGGCACTACTCGAAGTAATCGAGGATCCTCAAGTTCGAAAGTGCACCAAGGAGGGTGAAGGAAGAAAGAGGCCAAAACCTCCACCACATAATAAAGTCCTAACGATCTGACCCGGTTCACTCAAGTTGAAATTTATGAGGACGTGGAAACTGAAGGCCAGGGCCAAGGTATAAAAGACTGAGGTTGAGCCAAAAACTAGGACCCGGGAATAGAAGAAAAAGCCAGAATTGGGGATCGAGGATAAGTCGACTGCAAGCCTTCGGGTTAGGACGACCACTCCTCCAAGTCTTTCTCCATTTCAGAAGGCAACTAAGTTAACGAGCCATTTCGGTCGCAAATCCCGCGAAGCTAAATGACACCGAATTTTCCCAAAGCAAAAGGTCTAGAAAGAATACAGTCGACTAGGTGGTAACTCGTGACCGATGCGTCGCCGTTCAACCCAAAAGATGTCAGGCAACTTCGTCCTCGGGCAACTCGATCTACGACATCGTGCTAGTATGCGGCCACGAGCTTGATCACAAGCAGCGAGAGGCAACTCAAAAGAAAGATTTTAATCTTCCCTCAATGATCTCAACATCAAGTGTCACTCCGCTCCTTGTCATCCCCGGCTTCAACAACCAACGTCAAAATCATAAATAAAATTATCACAACCCAAGTCCGAGCTAAATCGGTAATCAACGAAAAGTGTCCTGGCCAAAAGAACTGCCAAGTGTGTTGTGGCTAAACCAGGCTACCAAAAATATTTGACAAGAGAATTTGCAAACGGATCCTAAGGACCCCACGCGAGTTGGACACTCCTTCCAACTGTGTGACAAACCTCGAAGGAAACTCTAGCCCAAAATCCTGAATTGGCATTCGACCTGAATAGAGTGCGGCTTACAAGTTGAAATCAAGAATGCCACCAATAATAGGAGCTGACGTAATACACCCAAGTAAAATCCCACGCATATCAGGTCGAAAATTTGGTGCAATTAAGGTCTGGCCCCAGACTGCTCTAATCAAGACAAGAAGGACCTCATAATAATAATTCCTCCCGCAAAGGGCCAATCAATTAAAACGTCAAGACGACTCCCTTCATGTATATCTTCAGAACACTGCTCTTCCCAAAAAAGGCAATAATGATAAAGTCGTGAGGGTCGAGTGACAGCTCTATAAGTATTATAAAAAGACAAGCAGAATCATGGCCATGGTTTGAACGTGGTGAATAGTTTTAATAATTCCCATGTCTGTTGCCAGCATAGGTCAGAGGTATAATAGGCCCGTAAATGAGAGTTTGTGTCGTAAGCAGTGTGATTAAATCAGTTCCAAAAATGCGCAAGCCGGCTTCAGCAAGGTAGCTCGGTCAGGCCAACGCGAGCCAACGTAATTAGCGTGTCTAAGTGCGTAGGTCGGGTACTAACAAAGATACCTGATCAGGCTAAAGAATTCCATCATGCCAAAGTGAGCCAACGTAATTAGCGTGTCTAAGAGTGCAGGTTGGGTACTAACAAAGATACCCGATCAGGCTAAAGAACGTCATCAGGCCGAAGTGAGTCAATGTGATTATCGTGACTAAGTATGAAGGCTAGGTACAAAAGTTGCTCGATAAGGCTAAAAAAGCCATTGCAATCAAAATTACCGCCGAAAAGTGCGTAAGCCAAGCACAGAAGTAAGTGTTCGATCAATGTAATTAAACATGCAAGTCAAGTTCATACAAGTCGGCACATAGTTACTCGGACGAGCCGAGTGCAAAAGTAATTCTCATCCAACGAGATCGTTTAACATTCAGGTACGCAAGCGGAGCACAAAAAGCTGCCCAGACAGGCCAAAGAGAGCTAATTTGATACTTGAACGGCTAAGGTAATTAACGTTAAACGTGCAGGACAGTGTTTCAACGGTAACTTTGTTAGAGTAGGGTACCCGGCGTTCCAATCTAATTGGACGTATTCTACTTGTAAATACAGTCTATTGGAATTATATTATGAATAAGGCATTTCTTTATCTTAAGAGAAAGCATTTATCTTATAATTGCACTTAAGATAAAATCCCTAGATCACTTATGGTTATAAGGTATGGTTGCGCATAGAGATGGTGATCATGGAACATATCTTGAAAGCTGTGATCTTAAATACAGTTCCAAGTCGATGGATGTTTCGAGATGGGATATCGAATAATCCATAAAAGACTTGCACATAGTTTGTATGCTTGTTGGACAAGAATGTTGCATTCCATCAACATTAGCGTAATACGTAAGTACATTTATGTGGGTGCTTGTTAGAGAACAAGTTCACTGAACATGACCGTATGAAAATTCTTAATGAAGAATTTATTCAGTCGAATAAGAATTTTCATGTTACAATAGTACATGACTAATCCTAAGACTTGAGGCACAATGGTAACTTTGTGCATATTACATTCTACTTTGATTTATCCTTTTGGTAGCTAGCACTATCGTTTAAAGGGATAAGTTGGGTATTATGTTAATATGTATGGAAGTTTGTTAGTGGCCAATAAAGGATTCGACACTTATGAAGATAAGTGAATTTCCTATGTGTTTCATAGTTATTAATCCAAAGTCCTTGGCCAAGGCAGAGATGAATAGTGATTCATAACCGGGTTAATAAACATGAAATAGAATCATAGTTATTAAGTCAATTTGGGTTTCGACAAAATCATACCCAAGACTTAATCGGGAAATTAGATGTCGAAAGGATTTTACATGTATGGAGTTGTAATCGGAATAGGTTTACTCGCTATTCACTTAATACTAGATTCATGCTACTTGCTAGGTGTTACCATGATATGTGGGTTCATAAATTAAAGGGTTAATTCATGAATAAGAGTTAATAAGATTTAACTCAAATTACAAAGTGTTGTAAACCCACTACTAGTATTAAGGTGAACCTAAAAGGTCACACTAATTATGAACAAAGGTAAAGATTGTATTTCTAATGGTTAGAATTAATTGATAAATATCTAATTTGATTAGATATCAATTAAAGGAATATATTAATCAATAAGATTGATTAATTACATTTTGGATATTACTTTAGTAATTAAGGTAATTACTAAATTAATAAAGTTGAATTTTAAAATAGGATTTTAAATTTCAAAAATCCAAAATAATAATAATATGATTATTATAATATTGGGAAAATGATATAATAATAAAGTCTTGAGAAAGATTCTCAAGATTTATTATCCAATTATTATTTATATCTTTAAATATGATTTAAGGATTAAAATAATAAATATGATTATAATAAAATGGTTGTTGATGGTTGTTTGAACTACTTAACATATCTTATTATTTTCAAAGTCAAAAGTTAGTAAATACTATTTAAATAAAATTTGATTTTATTTAATATTACTAAATGTTGATTATTTTATGCTAAAATGTTTAGTATAAATATATGCAAAATGGTTTTGCATTTAAGTGAAGTTTTTGATCCTAAATTTCTAAGTGTTAGAAAGAGAAGAAAGTGTTCTTCATAAAACTTCAAGAAAGAGTTCTTAAAATTCCCAAATAAAATTCATAAATATTCCTATACAAGAAAACCGAGTCTTTTCTACTAGCGAAGGAAAGTCGTCGGAACCGGGCTTCATAGGGTGGATACGTTTAGAGGGAAGACACTTGGATTCCTCTAGCGAGTAACCTCAAGTCGTTGAAGTTACAACCGGGAACCGATTCCCTCATCCATCATCAATAGTGAAGGAGTTCAAGACATTCGGTAAATATTTTACTAGTATTTAATTTATAGTAACAAATCAAAATTTGTATATGATGCATGTTTTAAAGATGACGATCAGTTAATTCGCAATTAGTATGTACGGGTGTTGTATTTATACGATAAATACTTACTTTAAAAATTTTAAATTCCGCTGCGTACAGCCCGTACGGTACTATCGAACCCAACAAACTTAACCTAATCTCCCTAGCTCGTAAAAACTAAAACTAAGGTCGAACTATCAGACCAATTGAGTTATCCTATCAGGTTAAGCTCGGACAATAAAAAACATTTTAGAAGTAACACAATTTTCATGAAAATGTTACGAGAATCAAGAGTTGAGTAAAGCTCGAAAGGTAGTTTACTTATTGTGAATAAATTAAAAAGTATGTATAGACAAAAGAATTACTTACAAATTTCCATTCATAATAATAATAATGCATACAAGTATCAAAAGCAATTCGACGACCTCACGAAGTCGGAAGATCGGAAGTCACGCAAGCCCCATAAAAAACAGAAAGTAGTTCGACGACCACACGCGGTCGAAAGATCGGAAGGCATGCAGACCTTGATGAA